ATTTATGGAATAATTGGCTGTCTCTCACATTATCCTCTCTTTAGTCACTTCCTTTTTAAGGGGATGTCATAAAGTGCAGCCTGTGACATCGAAGATGTGTTTATTCGGGAACAGACACAGCAACAGGCCTGGATAAAGCTGGGAATTTCAACCTCTATTTCTGGAAAAGTTTCCTAGTCTCTGGAGGTGATTTTCCCTATGTAAATTGGGTTTTTTTACTCCTTTTTCCTTACCATTAATGCCATGCATTTTTAAATACACCCAGGAAGAAAAGGAGACAAGGTCAGAGCCAGGACCTGTGGTAAGGCTGTGTGGCTGCTAAAAATGTTACAAATCCTCCTGCTTTCACCCACCGACAACAAGATGAGTCTCATGGATACAAACAGGGAATTTCACAGTGCCAGACAAACGCTGCTCAACTGCCAAACCCAACCCTGAACCGTTGCTTGAGCAGCAATTAAACCAGAACAATGCAGATACCCCGAGCCTGCCTTTAATCATCCTCCCAACCCTGTGTTAATTAGCCAGGCTGCAGCGACCACAGAAATGATGAGCCTGCGTGAGAATAAAAAGTAAAACTGTATTAAAAATGCAGTAAATTATACAACACTTTTTTTTCCCTATCAAAATATTTTAAAATATTCATGCCCAAGCTTTCCAGCACCTAAAGGGGGCTTACAACAGGGCTGGAGAGGGGCTTTTCAAAGAGCATCGAGTGACAGGACAGGGGGGAATGGGCTCAAGCTGGAAGAGGGCAGGGTTAGGTGGGATATTGGGAAGAAATTGTTCCCAGTGAGGGTGGTGAGGCCCTGGCACAGCTTGCCCAATAATAATTCTTAATTCATACTTTTTAATTCATAATAATTCTTAATTCATACATTTTTAGCAAACAAAACGATTAATGTTAATTGTTTCTAAATTATATCGTTCTCTTTCATCAGTTAGCATTCTACCTTCTGCTGGTTATTAACTCCTCATTTTCCATAACAAGTAGTCCATATCTTTAGTCTTTTTAGTACCTTTTCCCCTCCGCTGGGGTTTTCCCAAGGCAAATACTAAGCCTTTGTTCATCTTCCTCCTTTTCGAAACGTCCTTCCAGCTGTCCAGCCTCACCAATATCTATTTCTTCCCCGGGCTTCGTTCTCTGAAGCCCATCAGGGTCAGTTCAGCCAAACTTGAAAAGTTTTAGGGGTTTGCCCGAGCTCCGCTCTCCCAACAGCATCTTCACTTAACAGCTCTTTTGCTAAAGGCGGGCTATGAATAACTCAGAGCCTCGCGCAGCTTATGATTAATTCAAGGGGCTAATTAGAGGGTTTAATTAAGACCATTAACACATTAGCGAAGCGGTGCAGTTTGCGGCAGGGGGATGGTTTTGGAGCTGCGGGCGGGCTCACGGTCCCGCACGGTCCCGCACGGGGCCCGCAGAGGGCGCCGCGGCCCCGCCGAGGGGAAGGGAAAGAAGGGGAGGGGAGGGGAGGGGAAGGGAAGGGAGGGAAAGGGAGCCGCTCATCCCGCTCCTCCCGGCCCTCCCCTCTCCCCTCCGCAGCCCGGAGCAGCAGCCGCAGCCCCGCAGGTCGGTGCGGCCCCGCTCGCTCCGTGTGTTCGCCCCGCGGGTCCCTCCGTACCCAGTGCCATTCCCGGCGCTCGTCCCCTTTCCTGGCGCTCGTTCCCCGTTCCCGGTGCCGTTCCCCGTTCCCGGCCTCCCCCGTGCCCGTTGTTCCCCCGTGGGACCCCCTTTCCCCGCTCCGGGAGAAGGGAACCCGCAGCGCCGCCGCTGTTCCCGCAGCATCCCCCTCCCGGGGAGGTGATGCCCGCTGGGCTCTCCCGATGCACAAAAGCGCTTCCCTGTGTTTCGCTGGGTTTATTTGGTTTATTACTTTTAATAAGATCGTAGATGCATAGAATCACAGAGTCCCAGAGCGGTTTGGGTCGGGAGAGATTTTAAAGCCCATCTCGTTCCACCCCCTGCCACGGGCAGGGACACCTTGCCTAGCCCAGGTTAAGAGAAGCTGGGATTGTTCCGTGGGAACTGGGATGGGTTTCCAGGTGGAGTTTGCCCGGGCACCATTCACAGTCAGGAGAGTGTAAAAATGCTTTTAGAGGGTAGTTTAAGCCAAAACCCAACGGCCAGGTTAACACCGGGATGTGTTTGCAGGAGCCCTGATTTACTCTGGAGCCCAGCTCCACTTTTGCTTTCCCCCAAGAGTAATTAATGGTGAAGATTGTACAATTGAGCAGCTTTTGGGGGGTTTGAGCTGGTATTAACAGCGATTTAGAGCCCTTGCAGGTGTGCCAGACACACTTATGTGACATCCTCACCCATCACTTGCAGCGTCTGTGTTTGACATCCAGGAACACACAGGGATGTCAGAGCAGGTGGAGAGGCACAGGAGCTGGGGCAAGGCTCCCAGATTCCAAGGAAAACCTGCTTTTCCTCATCTACACTGTGGAGCTGTCCTTAATAAAGTGGATTTCCCTTCTGAACCCTTGTGTATTTCTATTTGCTTATTCCACAGTAGGGTGTTAAAATGGGAAAATGCATCCAAACAAGAGTCTCAAGTGACTGATTCCTCATTCCTAAATATCCAAATATTTACCAAACCAGTTTTATTTTTAGCTGGACAAACACTAAACCTTTGCAGAAAGGGATGATGTCAAGGTTCCAAGTGAACTGTTCTGTGAAAATAACACCTTCACTGGAACTTTCCCAAATGGTAGTAACTGCTATTTCTAAGAGAGAATACAAAGGCAAAGAATCGTTACAGGAACATAAATCACCTCTATAATGTCATTTTATTATTTGGGGGTTTGAACTAAATGATCTTTAAGGTGCCTTCCATCCCAAACCCTTCTCTCTGGTTTCCCAGAATAGCTGCAGGGTTTGGAGCAGAAGAGGAGCTGCAGTGCCTCCCTTGGACTCGCTGCCACCCAGTCCTGGATCTCACTACAGAACTTTTGTATGTGTGAGTCCAACTTTAGTCATGATATTCAGTCATGGCTTTAAAAAACACTTGAAGCCTCATTTTTTCAGACACGGATGTTATATTCATTTTTTGAGGTTTCTCCCATTTTAGTGAGTCTGCTCAGCTGCAGAAATGAGATTACAAAAAAACTTAAAATGTTACTTTCAACATTTTCTTGAACTTTTAGAGTTATTTTCAAAGGTGGTTACAGAGTCTTATAACTTCACCAGCATAAGCTGAATAAACTGAAGATATCTTGCAGGCTCAGGTGATTTCTCAGTGTGTGAATATGTGTTGTATTTGTATTGTTTAATTATTTTAGGTCCAGTGATGACAGTTCTCTGGAGAGGGAGCCAGTGCCTGCAGAAAACTTGTTCCAGCATTTAAAAAACACACAAACCTGAAATGTCATGAAAAGAAAAGTTTCTCACTGACTAGCAAAATAAGTCCCAATTTTGCAGGGAATGATGTTCTATGAAAACAAACCTTGAAACTTTATCAAGACTTGAGAGTGGTTTGATGTGTAATTGTGGTTCCAACCTGGTTCTGCATCCACCTGCTGCTCTAGCACTTGGTTTTTTGGGTTGTTTTTTTAAGCAGTGCATTTGCTCTGTGATTTTTCCCCTTAGTCTCCTCTCTGTGAGGAATTATTACCCTTGAGAGGACTTAAATTATCATGAGAGTGAGTAGGATGTCAGCTGGGTTTTGTCAGCAGGAAGTTTTGAGGTGTAGTAATAGATAATTCTGCATTTTTGTTAACATTTTGTTCGGTTCTTTAGTGCTGAGCCTTCTAAGCAAACATTTCTTATTAATATTTCAGCAGGAACAAAAAAAAAAAACCACCAGAATTATTATAATTCACTACAAGAAAAGATTTTTAGAGGTCTAAGCCAACCATCCCTTGCTTCAAAACTTCACCTGTATGGGACTGTTGTGTTCCATTCTGGGGGTTTTGGGGGCAGGATCACCCTACATTTGCCTTCTGCAAGCTTTTCATGCTTTCCATCTCTCCTCTGGAGTATTAAATAACACAGACTGTTTGTGTTGAATCACTGGTAGGTGTGATGGGCTGACTGGAGTTTAGCAGATTTTAGAGCTCACCTGGCACCTGAGTCGTAAATTAGTTTGTTTTCATAATGTTACCTTGAGATTAGCTGCATGGAAGGCAACAAATATATAAATACTTTATGTAAATATATTTTGTAAGAGTGAGTAGAGTGTTCAGAATCTGGGCTGGTACCTTGAAAGAAAATATTGTGGCTTTATTGGCATCACATTTAATGTGAAAATCAGAGTTTTGGTCTCAAATTCAAACAAATTCCGTGGTTTAGCTTACCCTGTAGCAGATTTCTGGCCCCTCGGTGTCACTGCCAGTCTCATCTAAGACAACCTCAGTAATCTCGCCTGGAGCCTTTTGCAAAAGCTGCTTTTTTTTTCTTTTTTTTTTTTTTGGTTGTTTTATCTTGGATGTGTTCCTCTGCCTGCATAATACAGATATATAATATGCCAGAGAAGCGTGTTGTTCATGTTTGCAAAAATATTTGGTGGTTGACAAATGAGCTTGATGTACTGTGCCGTTGTACTGACTTGACACTAATCTCTGCCACTTAGAGCAAATGAGAATAAATCACCTCTTCCCTCTCATCTCCTGCACCCTGAGTTGTGTGTGTGCACTTGCAGCAGGAGCTGCTCAAGGTTTGTTTCAATCCCTGTCACCAGTCCTGTCGTGCTGGCTCCTGCCAGTTAAATTTGGGTGGGGAAAAGGTCAGAAGCAGCACCTGAGCTGGAGCTGAATCACTTGCTCTTTGGTCACTGGTTTCACACCTGTGGGTAGGAGATGACAAAGCAAAAGTAGGAATGGTCCCACCAGGTAAAGATGCCTGGAGAACAATAGGACTCCAAATCTGTCCCCATGAGGGGGATGTGATTTACTGCACTGATAACGAGGGCTGTGGAAATGAGTGAAGTAAAACCAAGCTTAGGGAGTTGTTGAGCTTCAGAAAGGGGTGTTGCGTTAAAACTGACGTGTTAGTGAGCATGGAACTCATCCAGGTGTGTGTGATGGCCTCAGGTTTGGGATTGCTCCCTTCTCTTCCTCGTGCAGCTGAATCACAGCTCTCCAGTTCAGAGCCTTCACTGGAACTGTCAACTCTCTGTTCATTCCCAGCCCTTCTGTGTGAAATAACAGAGGTTTTTCTTACTGCAGCCCTTGAAAGGCTGGTGTTTACAGCAGGGGGGTGTGAAACACTCGGGGTGCAGTTCTGGTGGCCAGAAAATGCTGTTCCAGTGCAGGCCCCCAGCAAGGAGCTCGTGCAAGTGTTGGGCTGGTGATCTGTGCCCTCTGTGCTGGTGATCTGTGCCCTCTGTGCTGGTGATCTGTGCCCTCTGTGCTGGTGATCTGTGCCCTCTGTGCTGGTGATCTGTGCCCTGTGTGCTGGTGATCTGTGCCCTCTGTGCTGGTGATCTGTGCCCTCTGTGCTGGTAATCTGTGCCCTCTGTGCTGGTGATCTGTGCCCTCTGTGCTGGTGATCTGTGCCCTGTGTGCTGGGGCAGCACGTGGGGAGCTGCACTGACCTCGAGTTCCTCTCCAGAAGGCAAGAGGAGCATTGCTGGGATAGTTCTCCTGTGGCTGCAGTTTGATTCTTCCTTCTTTCACGCTTTGGAAGATGAAGTTCAGAGCCTTTTCAACCTTTTTTTTGCTTACAGTGTTTTACAATTTCTTCTGGAATTTGTTCCAGCCAAATTCACCTTTCCTGCCAGAATGGGAGAGTGCATCGAGCACTGTCCTGTGCTAGGCTGGATTGCTGGAGATCTCACCAACTTCACAGGCTGCTATTTAACAAATCAGCTGCCAATCCAGGTAATCTGCCAATATTCCTGCTTTTTCATTTATCCTTTTCAAGCTGCAAGAGAAAACAGTTCTGTATTCTGCTCACCGATGTGCCATCCACAAAACAAGTCATAATTTCCCAAATATTCACACTGATACTGTTTCTCTGGCAGTGATTTGGTGTTTATCATTCCCATTATGATTATGAAGCGACATTTCCGTGCAGTTAAGGTGTTTCTGACTATTTGTCTACTGAACAAGCAAATGTATCTTCTCTTTCAGATTGTCACTGCTGGTTTTTATGTTAACATGGATCTAATTATGATTTCACAATTTGCCTACCATAAGCTCAAGAATCAGAAGGTGACAAAATGCAAGTTTTTCAATGATTGAAATGTTCTCCAGGATGTAGCATGGTCTTTGCTGACATATTTTCCTCCAGCATTTAAAGGCATTTTTTTCAGAGTGATAAAAAACAGAGTGTACAAATTGTGGTTGGAGTTGTCAGACCTATGGCTTCCAGTTTTCCCTTTCTTGCCCCCTTCCTTTTCTTTTCTGACCCACATATATCTTTAAATATTTTCCCTGCAGTATTTTCACTTTATACAGACATAAAGAAGGCAGCAGATTTGTGGAATCTGGCTCCATATTTTAACTTATTCCCTGTTTTTTGTGGAAGTCTGCAGAAGCTGAAAGCAAGCCTCATTTCTTTGTGGGGTTCAGTTGGCTGATTGAAACCTGACTTGATTTGCTTGCAGCATCGAATATCTTGACATCTTCACGTGTTCTGTTTCAATATCTGCATTTAACAAAACGTATTCAAGGGGGATGAAATTACTCGAGTTGTGCTTCAGAAGACCTGGCAGTGGTTGGAGTGCTCAGCCTGCCCATGAACTACTGTTTTGACTGAAATGGAAGACAGAAAGCTCAGTTCAGATTGGATCAAATCAAAACCATTAACTCATCAATCTAAAAAAAGGAAAAAAAAAAAAAGAAAGAAAATCCGTGGTACAGCAGAGGTAACAAAAAGCTGAAGCAAAACAGATGCCTCCCAGCAGCCTAAATAGGGATAAAGCAGATTCCTTCAATATGGAACTGATAATAAACCTGGAGATGGGTGGGTGCTGAGGGCTTTCCTTCCTGCTGCCTCCTCTGGAGAACAAGCCCAGGCTTTGGTGGGTTCTGACTGTCAGCTCAGGGGTTTGCAGAGCTGGAGAGGGAGGAATTAGACCTTAGAGAGGCTCTTCAGTACCCACTTGTGGAGCAGCTGGACACAAGTGGGTCGGGGTTGCATCTCAGAGTGCAGCCTGTGCAGCTGAGTGGGTGTTGTTTGAACTGCAGCTCTTTGGGACAGGCTCAGTGTCACTTCAGCACCGTTTGTGTCACTGCTGGCAGGCACTGCAGGGCCGTGGCAGCACCTGGCACACACAGAGGATGCTGTGGCTCCAGATTTCTGCAGCATTTCCCACCAGTTTTGAGTGTCCAAGAAGACTTCTGTGAGTCTCGGTAAGGCTTGATAACCAACTAAGCATGGACACAGAGACTGGGCCAGCACCGCCCCTGGATTACAGAAATCTCGGTCACAGAAATGTAAATAAACTTATATCATCCTAAATAAGGATATTTTAGTCTTTCCCATGTCAAATATCCTTGCTTTTGCAGTTTTTAATCAAGATATTTTGAAAGAGACTTCAGCTCAGCGGTTTTCTGTGTATCAGCTGTTATTTAATGATCAATTTTTAGGGGTTAATGCAGGAGATAAGGTGAGCATGAACATTTTCTCTCTGTTCCCTCACTGCTACTCAGTTGTTGCACGAAGCACAACTGTGACAGTGAGCAGGGGTGGGCACAGAGCCCAGGGAAAAAAAGAGGTGGGACTGACATCACTGCCAAGAAAAAGAGACATGAAATTCTACCTTTGCATTTACATATTTGTACTGCAAACAGAAAGCCACCTCAAATCAACAGCAGATGTTATTTTTTCCAGCTAATTTGTTTGTGTGTCATTCCAGGCAGCCATAACCTGAGGAATTTCTGCATCTCCTGGGTCGTGGAGTGTGTGGAGCTCTGTGTGGCACTGCCCTCTGTCAGCTGAGGAACCAGGAGCAGGGCATGGCAATCCCAAGAAATAATGTGAGTTCTTGCTTGTTTCTATTCCAAAACAACAAAACAAAACAAAAAACCCAAACAAACACCCAAAAGTGTCTTGAAAAGTTTGTGTCCTTCAAAGAAATCCGGACTTTTTAACAGTGGCTTAGAAATCCACGTTATGTGGATGTCTCACCCAGAAATGCCCAAATAAAGGAGTTCTAAAATAAAATTCTTGTAGCAGCTTCCTGGGCTTGTGTTCAGTCCTTTGGGTCATCTCTGGGATAATGTGTATAAATCTTGTATTTCTGCTGGTGTGAAGTGCTGTAAACATCCATGTGGAGCCCACACAGTCCCCCCCCCAAAAATCAATAAAAGTGGAAAATCCCCATTGTACCTGCTGCTGTCATTCCAGCAGGAAAAGTTCACAGGCTATTCCAGCAGTTTGATGGCCTTCCTACTAATGCCAGGGAAATAATTGTAATCCAGCAGCATGGCCCAGCAGGGAAGCAGCTTATTTTCAAAACACAGCCAGAGTGAGAAAACTCTTAAGCTGTGAAAAATGAGTATTTTGCTTTCTCCAGACAGGATGATGCATTTTTTTTTTCTTTTTTTTTTTTTTTTTCAGTGGCTGGAGCTCCAGTTGTGACTTTTGGTTTGAATTATTGTGCCTGGGCTTTTTTTAGCACGGATTGATATCAGTGTCAGGTGTCATTTGTGGCTGCATGTCCTGTGTGTTTTACCTGGGCAGCAGATTCCCTCAGCTCTGTAAGAACACGAGTGGGTTTGGGGCTGAGGGTTTTACTCCCTGTTGCTGTAGATGTTGGGTTCTCCCTCACAGTGCAGTTCCCCTGGAACTCAAACCCCACTTTGCTTTTGGGACTGTAAAATGGGAAAGAAAAAATACAGTTGTTTGGGGTTTTTTTCTCCTATTCAGAAAATTTTAGGGAAATGATGGTCTTTGATGGCTGGAAGAGGATTGATTGGCAGAGGGAGAAGTGAAGTATTTACAGCTGCATTTATCAGATGGGAGCAGGAACATGCTTTGTATGATTGTTGTCATGAGCAAAGAACATCTCCCCTTTTCCTTCTCCAGACTATTCCACCTTAAGTCACCAACCATGGGAATAAAAGTTAGAGGTCATTTAGTTTAGAATTTTAGCACAAAGGTGCTGTTACTGTCTTCTATTTTTTTCATTCTTGGTATATTTAAAAAAACCAACAAACACTTCAAAAGACCAGAAGGTTTTCCATTGTCAATTTTATCCAGACAGTTGATTATGGAAATGGTTAATTAATTACTGAGCTTATTCATATCCCCCTCTCTGCCTGTTCCTTCACTGGGATGCCACACTATTTGCAAACAGATCTATTATAAAGACTGATTTCTTCACAGAGTCCTTAAGAACTAGTTAGCATTTGGAAGCAGATTATCCTCGCTGTTTGCACTCCCATAAAAATGGCATTAAGTGGCATTAACCAGAGCTCCAAGAACTGTAACAATCCCTGTATTTGCAGTGATTTGTGCTAAAACTACTAAAGTGAGAAAATTCAGAGCCCAGGGAGAGGTGGAAGAGCAAGTCTTTGAGGGTGTTATATACACTACAGAATGCCAGCATTATCTAGAACTGGTTACTGTGGCACAGAGAAATGTTAAAATAAGTATTTATAAAGTACCTGTTTAAAGAGCATGTGTACAACATTTGTGTTTAGTTCCAAAGAAGGTCCTCAGAAGGCAACTCTTACCTTGCTCTTTGCCTTGGCCATGATGGGAAACTGCACCTATGGACTGAGCCTTGCCTTAAAGATGCCCAAAACCAAATCCTCCTGAGGCCTCTGCTTTGTTCACCACCTTCCTTGGCTCACTGGCAGCTTTGGAGTCTTTTTTCTTGACAGTTTTGTATCCTTTTCCTGTTATAATAGAGATTCTCAGCATAGGCTTGTTAATAAGTGGGTCAGAAACAAAGTGGATTTCTTTTAAAATCACTTTTTTTCCTAATCCCATCATAAAATCTTCATTCTGAGCAATAATTTGTGTGATTTTTATAGTGATAATTCTTGATGAGAATGCAAGTTTATCTAAAATCCCTGCATTGCACAGGGTAATTTGTATCTTGGAGACAATAAGTAGATACTGCAAGTTGGGGGTGCACATTGTGCTGTTTTTCTTAGGTTTGTTGTCTGATAAATGCAAAGAAAACCCCTAAAAACCCAAACATATCAAAACAACCCCTAGACTTCCCTGTTTTTAAATGCAAATACAGAATCACAGCTTAATTTGGAATTGCTGTTGTAGGATGGTGTTCGTGTCAGAGACATGCAATGAGAGTTTGGCAGATTTGGGCTCAGAAAATAGAATGTAACAAAGCAAAGCTGCAGCAGCCCTTAATTTTGCAGAATTTTGGGCAAATTTTGGGCCTCTGAAAACCAGCTCTGCTCTCTGAGTCATGAAGGGCCAGCCAGCTACACAGTTCTCCAGGTTCATGTGCCAGTGTCTTGAAAATCCTGGGCAATCCTAACCCCCTACAGCTGATACATGTTTATAATTAATGTATTCATACCTGATTCCCACAGGATATTAGTTATTGTGCTCAAGAAAGGACAAGCAAAATCTTCAGAGTCACGTTGTGCCTTTGCTTTAAAAGCCTTTGCCCAGGGATGCTCTCACTGGGCATTACTGGTTTGTAGTCACCTGTGTTGCTGCTATGGCTTGGATTTCCACTTGAAAGAACTTAAAGGGGAGATATTTTGATTTTTTCCTCAGGTAAGAACTGTAGGTTTGTGTGTGGAAACCTCTTGGTGCTTCACTCAGACCAGGCTGAAGTGAAGTGATTTCAGCAGTGCTGCAGCACACTGAGTTAATCCATTCCAGATTAAAGGGAAGCTCTTTCCCAGATTTACCTGGAGCTGCTCCAGAAGTTTTGATTCCCAGGCATCAGTCTTGTCTTTCTGATTAAAGGAATTTCACAAGCCACTGAAACGGGATGAGTGACTGGAGAGCCAGACCTGGCCTTGGGATGCCCCCTGAATTCCAGTGTTATTCCAAGTCCCAGGCTCTGTGAGTGCTTAAAACATCCTGCACAAATACCCCAGACTGAGACCAAACTGTGCCTCCTGACCTGTCCTGAAACAAAGTGTGGTTTTATCCTGCATGGGACAGTCTGTGAGCAGACTGTGGGGATTCAGGATTTCATTCCATGAGCAAAGCAGTGACTTTGTTCTGGAAACATAAACCTGTATTTATTTACCCCCCCAAAAAAACCACCTAAAACTTGATCTTGATGACCCTCACAGTACGTTCTGTAGGTATTTGCAGATGCCTTTCTGGGATGTGCTCTGAAAATCAACTTTCTATTGGCCCCAAGGCTCCCCCCACTCCATCCCCTGCCCTGGGATGGCTGTGCCAGCCTGCACATGACAATAATTCCTGGGTTCCCTCTTGATTGGGGTCTGAATCCAATCTTGCTAATAAGTCCTCCAGTTCAAATTCTATGGAAAACAGATGCTCCCAAATCAGGGTGAGGAGCTCTGCAGGAATCCAGTGGAGCACACAGTGTTAGCTGGAGATGGCTGAAGTATTTGTAATCAAGGGAAAACAAAGGCAGACCTCCTGCTTCGAGAAGCCCTGAAGGTAAGGAAGGCAGGGCTTTTAGAAAGAGCTTCATTCCTGTCTCTTGCCAAGCAAGAAAATGAAAATCCGACAGTTGTACATCACTGGAGTCCAGAAAGCAAAGAATGGGATCACCTGGGCTTTGGAAAACAGAGGAATTAACCCCAAAAAGTCCTAATTTCTAAGAGAGAGATGTTTCATAATGGGTATTTGTGTACCAGTCTGTGTTTTTGAGGAGTAGTTGCAGAAACTGCCTAATTCTAGTGGACTTTATTCCTGATTGTGTCCAGAGTTTCATTAGGTGGAAAATAAACCCTCATTTCTCAAGGTCCAGGGCAGGATTAGGAGTTCACTCCCTCTGTGTCTGCTGCTGTTCCTTGGCTTTCAGCTGCCAGGGCTGGCAGTGACTGATTCTGGGAACAAATGGGCTCCTGCTCCCAGCTCCAGTGCAGGATTACCCTGGAGTCTGGGTTTACCAGGGTAACATTCTCATCCCATTCCTCTGGTTGCACAATGAGCCAGTGATTTCCATAAATAATGCAAGTGCCCAATTGTTTGTAAAGCAGGAGCTGTCCTCCTTTTCGTTCTAAGAGGAGTTTCGTGGCATTACACGCTGGAATTATAAATTAGACACATTTTCTTTTCCAGTAAATGTTTCCTTCCCCTTTGCAGCAGGAGGGGGTTGAAGTTTCTCAAGATCCTGAGGAGCTCAGGGTTTAAAAGGGTCTTGTCAGAGATGCTTCATCCAGGTTTGGATCTTATTAGAGCTTTATTTTCTGGGCATGGTTATTAAATATTCCCCTTGCCCACCAGGATACAATGCTACAGATTTTAAAATATTAAATCAGTCAAGGAGCAGTTCTGCCCTTGGTTTTGCAGCAGCCATCACTCAAGTTTCTCTGGAAAACTTCCTCTTTTTCTCTCCATCTCCTGCTCTGTGTCCTTCCTCCCCTGCTCCCTCCAAACCCAAACCACTCTGCTTTGTGTTCAGACAGACAGAGCCCTAAACCAGGATTTTTTTTGCCTTGTTCCCTTTCCTTTGCCATCAGCCATTGTCAGGGCTGTGTTCAGCTCCTCCTCGTGTTCTCCTTTCATGAAGCACAGCCAGGCTGTTCCTCAATAGCCCAAGTTTATTCAGCAGGAGTCTGTACACAGATTTCTCCTGCACCTTTGCAATCCTTTATTGTCCCTCCACAAAACACCACGCTCTGGAATTTAATTATTGTGCTAAAAATGTTCCAAATTCAGCCAGGAGAGCTTCCCAGCCAAACACACAACTTCCCTGCTCTCCTGTAAATGCCTGGCTTTGTCCTGAGTTTTTAAAACTCAGTTTTTAAAGTCATCTCCGTTCTCAAATTGTCCTTAAATACCTTAATTTGGTGGAACAAATTGGATGTGTAGCTCTGTGGCCGTCAGGAAGTTTACTGTGGGACTCCCCTTGCTTGTCTCCTCCACTTTGGGCTGCTCAGATCTCAAAGTTTCCCCCAGAAAGTCAGGCTTAAGCAACAAGTTAGTTCCTGTATTAAGTATTCTTGGTAGGTGAGCATTTTTTAAAAAAATAGAGGCAGCTGAGGGCATTTGCTCCAAAGTATTCTGGAAATGCTCTTTGATAAGCTCCACATAACTTGTGTTTATCATTTATTCACCTTAAAAGCTTGGTGGCCAGGGGTGATGATGCCCAGTGCTGCTCCACAGCCCTCTAAACCTAATTCCATGCAGGAATGAATTCCCTGCTCAACCTCATCCATGACCCCTACCATAAAACAAAGTGGTTTGTATCAAGTTCAAAACTCAAATATAACCCCCCCAAATATCCAGCAAAACATCTGAAGAATTCTGATTTTTTTTTCTATAATTTATTTTATTTAAAGCCTGGCTGTGCTCCTAGTCAATAATTTTACTGGAGAGCTGGACCCATCAGGAAAAAGGACAAGTACATACTTGTTAATTCTTTGTAGATCAGCGCTGTTTCCAAGGCCCTGGTTTACAATGGGAATAAATAATTATGTCTAATTGCACAATTCCTGTTGAAAACAGCATTAAGTGTTGGGTCATTTGTTGTCTGGGTGTCAGTACCTGGAAGTTGAACTGCCTGGACTTTTGCGGGAGATGAGAATTGTGTTTTCTCCTCAGGCCTGGATCCGTTGCCAAGAAGAGTTTTTTGAATAACTTTTTAATAACCTCCCCTCCTTCCCAGCCTCACCCACCCCCCTGCCTTCAGGGCACTGATGCTGGAATGCTGCAGGGCAATGTGTTTTATTCCACATTTTTCCTAGATGAACCTTTTTCCCATCCTTCTCCTCTGGAATTTCACACTTAGGACCCTTGCAATACTGGGAACAAAACTTTAATAAATTACCTCAAAGAATAAACTTCTTGTTAATATTTCACTGAATATGTGTATGATGTGTATAATTCACTAAGTTCCTGAATTACAGGGCTGGGTTTTGATAGATCAGAATGAGCTTTTCATACATTCGTGGGCTGATTGTGAAGCTCCTTCCTCTGAGTTCAGGTAAGTTAAAGGGATTCAATTTGATTTTGTTTTTAAATAATAAAACCTAATAAATAATATTGCTAAATAGTGTATAAATAAATAATAATATTAAATAAATAATAACATTATTTAAAATAATAAAAGAAACTAATGACTTCAACTGATTGCATTTAGATTCCTGCCAAAAGCACTAAAACTGAAGTGCTTTTCTCTGGGAAGGGTTTCTGAGGATCCACCTCAGAGAACTGTCCCTTTATGAGTTTCAGTCTGTACTTCCCCTGGTTTCTGAAGTGAGTGAAGGGTATTAAAAATTAACCTTTTCAGTCCAGGAATTAATCTGCAGTTTGTCGTCCTGGCAGATTTATGTGCTGTACACACGAGCTTAGCAATCCTTTCCTGACTGGTGATTGAAACCATGACTTGTTCCTTCTTAATGCCCTTAGAATTTGTTCTTCCATCACTTCTTCGAAGATTATTTCCCCTTTTATTGCTGCTCTGTGTAATCCTATTTTGGGATGGCTTTTTATCCCCGTTTCAGACTGGTTAGTGGAACAGCCAAATATGGGGTGTAGAATGAAAGTTGCTGTGATTTGATGTGAGGCTTTTGAGGGCAAATAATTTGAATTTTTAAGTGTGAAGCAGTGATAGTTATTTATTGATAGGCCATATATAAGTCCAGGGGTTAAGAAAATGCTTATAGTTGGAAAAAAAATGTTATTTTCATGCCAAAATATTCCAGGTTAGAGGCTGAAGGGCAGATCCTGATCACCTCTTCCTTAATCTCAGGAAAGCA